CCGGTAAAGTATATTGTATAGTACAGCATACAGGTGTTGAAGTTTACCATGAATTACCCTGCATCGCACGGCATCATGTTGATTTGCACCGTACCCCGCCCACCAGCTGAGCCCATCTTCATGTTTGAGGACGGACGTGTTGAAAACGTTTCGGGCCCCGGAGAGTTCGTGAAAGAGATTCACCCTTGTCCTCGCCGTCGTAGTCCTCATCATGGTCCTCATCCCCATGCGCACCACATTCCTCATCCCCATCATCCACCCGCGATACGAGGCTCCCACAAACGACAACTGTCTCGGTCGTCCCTTCCGTGGATCGGCGGCCGAAGCTCCAAAAGAAAGCAGCTGTTCAAGATGTCGCCTCCACTTGGGCGGTGCACGTTCCGTTGCCTTCGCCCCGTGCTGTCGAAGATTGGCAATCAATGTCAAATCCAGATTGCAAAACTTGAAACACCGTGCGCACAGGCCCTAAGGCCCTATGGAAACAAACAACTTGACTCTCTCTGTTGCACAGTACACAACGACAACACGTTCTCGACAATTCCAGTCTGGCGACCTGGTGTCCATGCTTCTCATCGCTGCGATGCTTTGCTCGAAGCGAGCGCAAAGCCACCAGAGCGGCGCTCAGCCTTGCCTCCTCTTGGGAGGCTGAGGGTGCACCTGGCAGGAACGAAAAGCACAACAGCAGCATGACAAAAAAGAGCGCATAAGAGCGCAGCCGCACATGCCGCACCTGCGTGCGAGACTCCGGCGAAAGCCACGCTTGCGCGGTGGACGCCGCCACTCTCCTCCACCGTGTACTCCACCAGGGGAGGCTCGAAGGTCGGGTCCAGTAGAAACTCTTTCAAGGTCACCTGAAGACTGCGGGCCACGGCCCGAAACGGGGAAAGCTTGAGTCAGTTGCCTACGGGCTCGCCTTGCGTGGGGGGCCCAGCATCGCCGCTGCGGCCTCCAGCTGCCCATGCGCCCGTTGCATCGCCTGAAACTGTCGGGAGATGTCGGGAGTAAAAATTGGGGTCGTGACCTGTCGTGACATGCTGAGGGCCAGGCCTGCTCCGCGAGGAAGGTGGCCTTCATGTCATTCGAGCCTGCGACGGCGACTTCTTCGCTTCTCTCACCATACAACCAGTCTAGAGGATCCCCACACAGTGGGAGGCGAGAGCAAATCGGGATGTGGCCCGCTGTGGTGCAAACCACACTCAAAGCAGGCCCTAGCCCTAGCTGCTCAAGCCCCCACCCTGCGGTTCTAGCCTGCGGTTTCCTGCACCTTCAAGCTTTGAGCGTTGCAGGTTGTGGGCATGGCGAGGTGAGCTCTTGGAAGAAGCTGAGTGACGTTTCAATGTACCGTGCCAAGAGGCGCTGGAGACCCACGGAACACCACAGAACTATACACAGCTTGCACTGCGCTCACGATGATATGCAAGAAAACCTTTTCGAACCTTGCTGAAGCAGCGGCGCGGAATGCACTGATGTCTCATGCACCCTTCAACTGCCACCTCAAGCTCTTCAAGCAACGGCACAAGCCTGAGGCTTCAAGGGCAATTGCCAACAGCGCCAAGGACACTGCAAGCACCTCGGGTAGAGTGATAAGATTCGGACGCCAAGACGTTCAGGGGTTTCATAGCTGCCAGTTTGAAGCATGAGGGTCTGTGAACGTTTCTTGGTTGGAGGCTCAG